CTGAGGATGGATAATGAAGGGTCCCTGATCTCGCTTTGGAACAAGGTGGGAAAAGACCGCTCATACCCAGGCCTCTCGTTGCACATAGACGCGGTGCCGAAAGGACGGCCGCAGTCGAAAGGGCTTGTGGAGGTAGGCGTGCGACACTTGAAGGAAGCCTTCTGGGTGAATTGGTTAACGCTAGAAACTGTGCTGGAGAAGAAACTCCGGCTGGGTGGTTTGTTGTACAAGGAAGCTTTGAGGTATGTGGCTAGGACCAGGAACCTGCATGCGACCTCGAAGTCGCAAACCACGCCAATTGAAAGGCTGAGACGCCAACATCTTCCAGTGACGAAGACGTTTCCTTTTGGTTGCAAGGGTTTTGCCAAACCCGCAAAGCAGAAGCCTGAGAATCGAGGCCGTCGCCTCATTCCGTGCATGTACCTAGGGCCTGCAAAGCCCAATGGTGGAGGAGTGCGTGTGCTCCCTCTTGATCGGCCCGATGAGGTCGAAGTGATGTCGGCTTTTAGGCCGGATCTGCCTTATCTGTACCCCGAGGAGTTGGTGGTTCAAGCCGCTGATTCGGGTGCACCTTCTAGGCAAGACAACGTCTTAGAGCGTCCTGTTTCCTTAGACCTGAAGCCCCCCGAAGCCTTTCAGCCCGGAGAGCCTAAGGGTAATCTAGTTGAGATGTGGTCCGGCTTGTGGCTGTTGAGCTTGAAGACCAGCGGGGGGAGCCGGGGTGATTCCACGTAGGCCTCGTAAGCCCGCCGGCTGAAGCGGGACTCCAGCGTCGTGGGGTGCGAGAACTCCAGGGCCGTTTTGTTCCGGTCACACTCTAGGCACAGGGCCTGAGGTTCTGGGCCTGTGCGGAGAAGGACTGGTGCACGGGGGTGATGGGCGCCGCGCAGAGCTTGCACTGGTGGTCTTGCTCCGCGAGCAGGGCCTGCCGAGACCCGGGCGGATCGCGGCGGGCCTTGAGAAGGTTGCCGCGCCCGCCAGGCGCTGCCCGCGATAGGGCAGCCCCAGCCGGCCCATCCAGGCTGCAGCACCTCCAGGTCCTCGTGGTAAGCGCAGATGACGCAGTCCTCGCCGCAGGCACCGCCACTCGCTCATGCTCCGCATGACCACCTTGGGGCAGTGCCCCTCGGCCAGGAGCTCCCTCCGAACCTGCTCCAGGTCCTCGGCGTAGAAGTGGCCGCTGCCGACCTCGCCCTCCCACTCCCGCCAGTCCTTGAACTCCGGCGTTTCGCCTGGCTTCCTCTCGCCCCGGTATTTGGCCTGGGCCCGGTCCCCGATCGGCTCGCACCTCGCGACGGTGCGGGCGGATTTGTAGAAGAAGGCGTGGCCGTTCCAGCTCGTGAAGGCCACGGCCCGCTGCTCCTTGACCGCAGGCTCGAACTTGTCCAGCAGGCGGCCCTGGCAGTCCACGTAGAACATCGGGGCTGAGCGCCACAAACAGAAAGATCGGATCTCTCGGGGCGTGATGCCTTGCTCCCGCCACTTGCTTCCGATAGCGGTGATTGCGTCGAAGTCCGAGAGCACCTCCATCAGCGGCAGCCGCATCAGCTCCGCGAGCTGCCGGGCGACGCAGAGCTTGTCCGGCCGTTGTTCGAAGGCGGACTCGAGGATCTCGTCGCCGCAAAACAGCTGGTAGGAGACGTCCCGCAGGGCTCCGAGGGGCTGATCCAGGACGGTGTCCACCACCACCTGGTCGTCCACGACCTGCATGGCCTGCTGGCTGAAGGTCCACTCCCTCGTCGCGTCCAGGTAGTAGGTCTCGTCGGACAGCTCCAGGATGATGTCGTTCGGCTCGGGATTCCCGAGCTGCGCGAGCACGGACGCCTTGAGGTTCCGGGCCGCTTGGGCCCCCCCGGGGGGCCCCCACCCTGGGGTGAGGGCCCCCTTCTTTCTTCAGATGAGGGGTTGGTTGCGGTCGTACTGCCGGCTGGGGGGCGGCCGGCCGATCAGTTGGTAGTAGTACTGGCCGGCCCTGGTGAGCTCGCCGTTCGGGCGGCTGAGCATCGCGTAGCGGAGGTGGTGGTGTGTCAAAGGAAGGGTTTCTGAGCCTGCCGCCGAGGTCCTCGCCCTGACCCCGGCCTCGGCTGCTAGTTTGATGGCTTGTCGTTGCTGTGCCCAGCTCATGGTGACTTGTTTGAACAACCCGCCCGGAAAAAAGGTCGTCCCCCGAGCGGGCCCCCCAACGCCGGACGAGTCTTGTTGTACAGTTGTTGGCTCAAGTCCCTCCCCGTTGTACAGCGGCTTGTACAGTTTTTGGCTCAAGTCTTGGTGTACAGCTTCGGCTCAAGCCCTCCCTAAACCCTATACTCCCTAACCCCTAAACCTTATACGGCAGTTTTTTCGCTTTGCACGAGTTTTCTTTCATGTTTCACTGCTCTGGAGCGAGCAGGCCTACTTCACTGCTCTGTGGCGAGCAGGCCTACTTTGGAAGCCGCTTAAACCTAAACCCCGAAATGCCGGCATTTCGTTTTGCATGAGTATGAGTTTTTGGCATGGACTTTTTGCATGATTTTGACACGTTTGATTTCTGTGAATGCTTGTGCCGCGCTCGCTCCCTCGAAGCGTGAGCAGCAGTGGCAGCAGGGAACAGCAGCAAATCGTTTAGCAACGAAAGGGCCGGGCAAGACGCACCCAGCGAAGGCAGCAAGCACGCAAGCCCTGACACAGACAGGCAGTCTCCGAACGCCGGGTGCGCAGAGGCTTCAGGGTTTTTTGGAGGTTGCAGGCAAGGGGGTCTGAGGCTGCGAGGTGTCTGCTGCAGTACGTGTCAGGAGTGCCCTGCGCTGTCGCCCACCTGTAACCTAGAGTGTTGTGCGCCTCCCCTCCCATCCCGGGAACCCCGGGCCCCTCTCCTGCGACCAGGTGCGCTTCGTGACCTTCGGCTTCTTCGACAGCTTCCAGCAAAGGTGGGGTTAGTGAAGGGTTTCTGAGTGCTTCGAGGCCGTGTTCTTTGTGTTCTAGGAGTGCTGCGTCCCTTCCTTCCCCAAGACCCCCGACCCTTTTCTCTGCGCAGGTGCTCGTATCTTCGTCGTCCGCCTGGTAACTCGAGGCAGGGTCTAGGGTTTAGGGAAGAGGGGCGCCGGAACTGAATCTCGCGGTGTGACAGGGCCGAATCCAGGGCCCGAAACGTGGGGCAGAGGCCGCTGACGTGAAATGAAATCCTGGCCCCTTTTGCGTCGGGACTCGGGACTGGGAGGCGTAACCCCGTGACCCCTTTTTGGGTCGGAAGTGGGAGGCGTAACCCCGTAACCCCTTTGAGTCGGGACTGGGAGGCGTAACCCCGTAACCCCCCTTTGGGTCGGGACTGGGAGGCGTAACCCCGTAACCCCGTAACCCCTTTAATTGAGTCGGGACTGGGAGGCGTAACCCCGTAACCCCGCTTTGGGTCGGGACTGGGGGGCGTAACCCCGTAACCCCTTTGAGTCGGGACTGGGAGGCGTAACCCCGTAACCCCGTAACCCCCCTTTGGGTCGGGACTGGGAGGCGTAACCCCGTAACCCCGTAACCCCTTTGAGTCGGGACTGGGAGGCGTAACCCCGTAACCCCGTAACACCCCTTTGGGTCGGGACTGGGAGGCGTAACCCCGTAACCCCTTTGAGTCGGGACTGGGAGGCGTAACCCCGTAACCCCGTAACCCCCCTTTGGGTCGGGACTGGGAGGCGTAACCCCGTAACCCCCCTTTGGGTCGGGACTGGGAGGCGTAACCCCGTAACCCCGTAACCCCTTTTGGGTCGGGACGGGGAGGCGTAACCCCGTAACCCCGTAACCCCTTCGAGCCGGGATGGGAAGCGTAACCCCGTAACCTCGTGACCCCGTAACCCCTTTTCGCTCGGGACTGGGAGGCGTAACCCCGTAACCCTTTCGAGCCGGGATTTCACGGGGGGCACGGGGTTACGGGGTTACGGGGGTTACGCGGTTACGGGGGGGCGCGCGGGGTTACGGGGGTTACGGGGTTACCGGGGGCACGGGGTCATGGGGGTTACGGGGTTACGGGGTTACAGGGGTTACGGGGGTTACGGGGTTACGGGGGTTTCGGGGGGTTCCGGGGTTACGGGGGTTACGGGGTTAACGGGGGTTACGGGGGTTACGGGAGTTACGGGGGTTACGGGGGTTACGGGGTTACGGGGTTACGGGGTTACGGGGTTACGGGGGTTACGGGGGTTACGGGGTTACGGGGGTTACGGGGTTACGGGGGTTACGGGTTACGGGGGTTACGGGGGGCACGGGGTTACGGGGTGGGCACGGGGTTACGGGGTTACGGGGGCTACGGGGTTACGGGGGCTACGGGGTTACGGGGTTGCGGGGGCTACGGGTTACGGGGGTTACGGGGGTTACGGGGGCTGCGGGGTTACGGGGTTGCGGGGGCTATTACGGGGGTTACGGGGTTACGGGGTTACGGGGGCTACGGGGTTACGGGGGGTTACGGGGGTTACGGGGGTTACGGGGTTACGGGGGTTACGGGGTTACGGGGGTTACGGGGTTACGGGGGTTACGGGGTTACGGGGTTACGGGGGTTACGAGGGGTTACGGGGGTTACGGGGGTTACGGGGTTACGGGGTCGGGTGGTCCGGGGGGGTCATGGGAGGGGTCCCCGGTCGGGCGGCACGGGGGTCGAGGGACACGGGGTTCGCGTTCAAGGGGGTCACGGGGGTCACGGGGGGTCACGGGGCGGGTCACAGGTGTATCACCGAAGTCAATGACAAGGGGTGATTCAGGTTGTCGACAAAGCACTCTCACAACTTTGTTTGGCGTCACAACCCGCAAACAAACTCCTGCCGAGGTCGAAGAAGATCCGCATTGACGGCAGGGCCGATCTGTTGACGTTCCGCTGGGCAAGCATGTCTGAGCCGAGGCCTCTGCATGCTGACACGGTGTGCGAAGAGTGTCAACATGCGCAGCATAGCATCCTATTGCGTGTGAGTCAACTGAAACAGGTTCGCATTGGAGCTTGATTCGTCGAGTGTTATTGCTCCAGCGAACAGCTAGGACCTACAGGCGCCATGGCACACGCTGCAGCGGCAGTGCACAAGAAGAAGCCACACACGCGCTTGCTTGCGCTGCTGGCATTGTTTTGGGCGTGCCTGCCAGAGCCCCAGACACGCTCATGCACATGCGCCAGACCTCCCAGTCAGTTGTAAAGTTCCCGAGCATCAGGCAGACAGCGCAGCCGGTGCGGGCTTTGGCTGGGCCAATTGTGAGGCCGGGATTGTGACAGGTGAGACGGAGATTGTTGAGCGAGGTCCGTTCCCGTGTGCTTGTGCGCTTTTCTTTTTGGCGAGACCGACCTAGGAAGCCACGCGAAAATGCGAACCTATGGGCTTGGGTATGTTTTTGTGCGTTTTCTGCGAGATCATGAATTTTTGCGAGATGTGAAACCTAGGCTTGTTTTGGGCGTTTTTTTGGGCGAGACCGACCCCCCACAAAAAATGTGAAACGCTAGGCCTGGGCATGTTATTGGGCGTTGTTTTCTGGCGAGACCGACCCAGGAATCGCGCGAAATCTGAAACTTAGGCTGTGGGCATGTTTGGAAGTTGCATGTTGGCTTGATTTTGCCCGGGATCCCCGGCCCCCTCTTGTGGCCAGGTGCTCATCGCGACCTTCGTCTTCGACATCTTCAAGCATATCGACAGGCAGGGTTTAGGGTGTGGTGTTTGCTTTTTGGGTTTCGGTTGGGTTGCAGGATGAGCGGTTTTGGAAGGCGGCCTTCGCGTGCTGCCTTCCGCCCCTCGTAAGCTAGAGTGTTGTGCGCTTCCGCTCCTCTCCCGGAAACCCGGGCCCTTCTCCTGTGGCCAGGTCCTCATCGTCAACTTCGTCCTCTTCGAGTGTCTCCTCGCCGAGCTCTTCAGGAGGCACGGCAAGCCGCCCGTAGCACGCCGGGCTGCAAGGGAGGCAGGGCTCCGAGAGCGCTCGTTTCCCGGACAGCGCAGGCTTCGGAGCCTTCGGAAAGTGAGGACGACGAGGAAAAGGCCAGGTTTGTTTGTCCATTCGGTGTGTTTTGGATTTTGCATCGAAAGCTGCTCGGCGGGATGTCGAGGAGCAGGCTGCCTCTACACAGACCGCCGACCCGGTCGAAGATGCCCCCAAGGCCTCCGAGAGTGCTGTTGGTGCTGTTTCAAGATCCCATTGCAGACTGTGGCCTTTGCCCCTGCTGGTGCAGGACGAGCAGCTGCAGAAGACAGCTCTGGAGAACGAGGCTCCGGCCAAATCCCGAAAGCAGACATGTTCGGCAAACACGGCAGGAAAATCACGGGAAAGCAGCCCTGCACCTGGCAGGATTTGGCCGCAGCCCGACGAGCACGAGACAGGGCAGAAGCCACGGTAGCCAGACTTGACCGTGTGGTTGCGGCCTTGTGGGAGCAGTGGCTTCCAGAATTTCAAAGCGGCAACAACAAAAAGGCCGATGAGGTCAAGACGCAACTAGAGGACGCCCAGACGAAACTAGAGGACGCCAAGCAGGAGCTCAACGTCGCCAAGCAGGAACTCAACGATGCTAAGCAGGAGTACGAGCAGGCCAAAGCAAGCGCCCAGGCAGGACCAGCGCAGGCCGGGGGGCTTCTGCATGTGCAGTTGTTGCTGTTGCCTTTGGTTTGCAGCACTCCCGCATGGTCACCGTTTGCTTTTTGGGGCTCTTCTCTTAGCAAAGATCTCGTCGTCAAGCTTCAGTGTTGGCTTGCAGCCCTTGGGGGAGTGGGAGGGGCTTTCGGAGCAGAGGGCTCTTGGCTGCTTCAGGTTCAGGCAAATCTGGTTGCTCTTCGTGTTTTGCCGATGCTTCAGAACGGGGTGTCAGTCCTCGGCTCGAGGTGGGGGGGTCAGCCTGTTTTGCGCTCATCTTGCGCTCGCTCTCCGGGTTGCTTTTGAATGAGGCTCGACTTTCAGGTTACCGTGTCCGTGAGGGGAGTCAAGGGAGTCAACCCTGGGTGCCTTTAGCACACGGACTTTGAAGAGCAGTGGGGTTCCGGCAAGACTAGTGCAGGCCGGGGGCTTCTGCGTGGGCATGTTGCCTTTGTTTGTAGCACTCCTGCATGTCCGGGGCTCTTAGTCGTCGTGCGTTTTCGCGCGGTCCACCGTTGTTGCTTTTTGGGGTGCTGCTTTCCTCTCAAGATCTCCTTGTGGTTCAGCTGTCTCCACTGTGTTGGCTTGCAGCAGTTCGGGGAGCGGGAGGGGCTTTCGGAATCTTTCGGAGCAGAGGGCTCTTGGCTGCTTCAGGTTTCACTCGTGTTTTACCGGGTGTTGGTGCTGGCAGTGAGGCTAGAGGTGAGGGTCTGCGTTGCTCTCAGGCTGCAGTTGTTTTTGCGTATGAGTCTCAGTTACGGTATCTGTGTTTGTGTGCTTGGTCGCCGTGCTGTCGCAGTTTTCTTTCTTGATTTGTCGGGGTCGGGCAGGGCCCGAGACGCCAGCGTTTTGCAGGGCAGCCGGTCACAGGGGCACCAGGTGAAGCTTCATGTGTGCTTGTGTCGATGCTCGGCTTTTGCACTAAGTGGGCCAGCGTTTCGCGCTTCACTGTGTTGGCTTGCAGCGGGGCTCTTGGCTGCTTCAGGTTCAGGCAAATCTGGTTGCCCTTTGTGTTTTGCCGAGGCTTCAGAACGGGGTGTCAGTCCTCGGCTCGAGGTGGGGGGGTGTCAGCCTGTTTTGCGCTCATCTTGCACTCGCTCTCCAGATTGCGGTTGTTTCTGTTTGAGGCTCGACTTTCAGGTGTCCGTGAGGGGGAAGTCAAGGGAGTCAACCCTGCGTTCTTAGTGCTTGCCTTTAGCAGTAGCATGCGGACCTTGAAGAGCACTGGGGTTCCGGCAAGACGAGTGCAGGCCGGGGGCTTCTGCGTGCGCGTGTTGCCTTTGGTTTGTAGCACTCCTGCATGTCCGGGGCTCTTAGTCGTCGTGCGGTTTCGTGCGGTCCACCGTCGTTGCTTTTTGGGGTGCTTCTTTCCTCTCAAGATCTCCTTGTGGTTAAGCTGTTTCCACTGTGTTGGCTTGCTTGCAGCAGTTCGGGGAGCGGAAGGGGCTCTTGGCTGCTTCAGGTTCAGGCAAATCTAGTTGCCCTTCGTGTTTTGCCGACGCTTCAGAACGGGGTGTCAGTCCTAGGCTCGAGGTGGCGGGTCAGCCTGTTTTGCGCTCGCTTTGCGCTCGCTTTGCGCTCGCTCTCCAGGTTGCGGTTGTTTTTGTTTGAGGCTCGACTTTCAGTTTGCTGTGTCCGTGAGGGGGAAGTCAAGGGAGTCAACCCTGCGTTCTTAGTGCTTGCCTTTAGCACGCAGACCTTGAAGAGCAGTGGGGTTCCGGCAAGACGAGTGCAGGCCGGGGGCTTCTGCGTGGGCGTGTTGCCTTTGGTTTGTAGCACTCCTGCATGTCCGGGGCTCTTAGTCGTCGTGCGGTTTCGTGCGGTCCACCGTCGTTGCTTTTTGGGGTGCTCCTTTCCTCTCAAGATCTCCTTGTGGTTAAGCTGTTTCCGCTGTGTTGGCTTGCTTGCAGCAGTTCGGGGAGCGGGAGGGTCTTTCGGAGCAGAGTGCTCTTGGCTGCTTCAGGTTTCACTCAAATCTGGTTGCAAAGAGGAGCATTCTTGTCGTTATTATTGTCTTTCACTGTAACTCGTGTCGTTGCTTGTGTTTGAGGGGCCAGCAAATGTATCTAACATCAGTTAGCTGTGTCATTGCCTTCAGGTTGAAAGCACTTTGGCAGACATGGCATTGGTGGTGAAAACAGCAGTAAAGGAAGCAATGGCTATTGGGCTGACGGTCTCGCGGACCGTTCTGTGGAACGACGCATATGGACCCGACACCAACGATCAAGAACTATGCGGACGCACTGGCGAGCCTGTCCTCTCTGTCAAACAACTAAGCAGTCTTACCGAGCAGCGCACGGAGCAGGACCTGGTGGCTTTCATTTTGCCCACCTTGAGATCGTTGTTCCCGGAGGACCAGATCGTCGACTCACAAAATCGCCGTTGGCTTTTAAGCGGTTTGTCACCTGATTTGTTCCGATGCATGGTATGTGATGGCAATGCACATAGTGGCACGCCACATAAGGAGATGCTCGATTGTGTGTCTGTCTTTGAAGCGAAGTTGGCGATTAGGAATGACGGCCGTGGTCAGCTGTATGAGTATCTATGTCGCCTTCCTTCCAAGCATGCAAGGGGCATGATATTCGATAAAAGCGGCTTTGAGCTGTACCACGTGGCTGGGCAATGTGGGAGCCGCAAAGCACTCTTAGAAAGGATTTGCGGGGCCTGGTCCGCCCCTGGAGGGAAAAAGCTCCTATGCGATTTTCTTTCTCATTATTCTCCATGGGAACGTTTGTTGCGCCAATCTCTGCGACAGGCTGGTGCTGTTCCCATTGCTTTCCTAGGCAGTGGAGCATTCGGACGTGTTTTGGAAGCGAAACACAAGCGAAATGAGCAAATTGAAAGGATTGCCATCAAGGCCGTTCTCGCAGTTGGCGTGCCAAACGGATTCAGCCCCGGAGCGGAGGTCGAAGTCATGAAGAGGGCCTGCGAGAAGGGCTGCCCAGTAGTGGCTCCTTCATCAGACTGCATCGAGGTCGTAGAAAGCAACAAGGTTCTGGGATGGTTTCACATCCTCGGTGATGTTGGTACCCCGGTACCAGTGGACACGGCCCAGGCGAAGTGGCGAGACCTTGTCGAAGCCTTGCGCCAACTACACTTGAAAGGCTTCGTCCATGGAGACCCACGCCTCGCAAACGTAGTTTTGCTCGGTGAAAACTTTAAGTGGATTGATTTTCTGGGACAACCAGTTTTCACGCGGGCTTCGCAGGAGACGGACGTTCAGATCCTCATGACTGATCTGGTTGGCCAAAAAGACCCGGTTCAGTTTGACGTGCAGTTTGACGGATGGCCAACAAATTCAGCCTTCATCGATAATGTGCTGCAGCCCTTGATGTCTTCTGTCACAAGCTGAATGAATCTGCAGGCAGTGCTGGAAGCCCTGAAGTTGCTATGAGTTCTGCAGCTTCGCGAAAAAGATTCTGTAGACTTTGCTCCTGCGCTTGCGTCGGGGCTGGGTGCATGGGGTCCGAATGGAAGTTGTTGTGCAGGCCGGTGACTTCGTAAACTCCACAGTTTTCTCAGACATTACCGCAGCCAGTCCCTTAAACCCCTAGACTCTGAACCTCGGTTTCGGGCTTTTCAGTGCAGGGCCTCAGCCTAAGCGCCCAAGTTCATTCAGTTCTGGGCGCTGCAGGGTGCCTTAAGTCAACCCCATAAGGCACTCTAGCGTTGCTTGCTGTGCTTGTTGCTGCGAACACGGGAGAAATCACTTCGGCTTCTATCCAGGATCGAAGCCAAGGGACGTCCCCTAACTTGTGCTTGTGCAACAGTTTTGGGTTAACAGCAGGGTACTTGAGGGTGTTTGGGGAGACCCAGCTGAATCCCGAGCTTTCATCCGCATGCAAAGCTGTTACACAAACTCCATGGTTTCCTTGCTCGATGTTTGGTCGCAGCAATAGACGTGGCGTGGTCGCCAATGCGCCATAGGATCCGGAGCATAAGAGCGGTACTGCATCTTAGGGCTTTCGCTTATGGAGGCAATGCCCCGAGCGGTCCGGGAGTGTGTAAAGCTTCCTCGATGAAAGAAACATGCATAGCAATCAATCATTTCTCGCGACATCGCTTTCCAAACGGAACCTGGACTTCCATAGCCATCCTGCTGAATCCTCGAATCGGACTGCATCGAGACGTGCAAAACATGGTCGGAAAATTGAATCATGCTCTCACTCTCGGAAACTTTACGGGAGGCAAAGTATGGATTGAAGATGATGCAGGAACTTCAATTGAAAAACTAAGCAACAACAACAAAACTTACGAGCTCAAAGGTTCATGGATCGACATTCATGACAAACCCATGTCTTTCAACGCACGACGCGATCATAAAATGTGGGCGCTGGCAGCAAACACGCCGCAATCGTTTCGACGCTGCTCCGATGAAGTTTGTTCACAGCTGAAAGAACTCGAATTTCCATGTGAAGCGCAGTTTGAATGAATTGGGAAATTTTTGGAGTTCTGGCGGCAGCACAGCAGGCCGAGCATGCAAACTCCGACCCTGCCAGGCCGCACTACGGCCCGAAAGATTTTTGCATGGACTTTGCGCGCACTTTCGGGCGTTCTAAAAGCCAGCCCTGGGCCTCCCAGGCCACGTTCTGGAGCGAGTTCCGGCCGGAACCGGAGGGAAGGACTTACACCATGAACGAAACAGCCAGAGACTACACCACAACATAGCGCAGTTTTGAAACATGGATATAAGAGAGAGGTTGGGCCCACAATCGATCGTCTACAAGGGAGCTGATTCAAAAACGAAAGGGTGTTGAGCCTACAGCTTCGAACCAAAAACGAAAGATCGACAGGGCTCAGGGCCGTGGGACGCAACGATCTTCGGCCCTTTGGGCCCAAAATTTTCCTCGCAATCGGAGCTCGACGATTGTGGACTTTCTCGCTTCTCTCACTCTCTCACTCCGCTCTCTCCGCTCACTCGACTCGCTTCGCTCGCTCGCTCGCTCCGTTCGCTCCGTGAGCTCGTTTGCTCCGCTCGGGTCCACAATCGTCGAGCTCCGATTGGCTCGTCCCAATTTGGGGCTCAAAATCGACAGGGCTCAGGGCCGTGGGACGCAACGATCTTCGGCCCTTTGGGCCCAAAATTGGGACGAGCCAATCGGAGCTCGACGATTGTTGACCCGAGCGGAGCAAACGAGCTCACGGAGCGAACGGAGCGAGCGAGCGAGCGAAGCGAGTCGAGTGAGCGGAGAGAGCGGAGTGAGAGAGTGAGAGAAGCGAGAAAGTCCACAATCGTCGAGCTCCGATTGCGAGGAAAATTTTGGGCCCAAAGGGCCGAAGATCGTTGCGTCCCACGGCCCTGAGCCCTGTCGATCTTTCGTTTTTGGTTCGAGGCTGTAGGCTCAACACCCTTTCGTTTTTGAATCAGCTCCCTTGTAGACGATCGATTGTGGGCCCAACACCCCGCTTCATAAGAGAGAGACTGCAGCTTTTTCGCGGTTTCTGGGCTGTGCGAGTTACTCTATGTGGCTACTCTGCGTGGCTACTCTTTGTGGCTACTCTTTGTGGCTACTCTGTGTGGCTACTCTGCGTGGCTACCCTGTGTGGCTACTCTTTGTGGCTACTCTGTGTGGCTACTCTGTGTGGCTACTCTTTGTGGTCTGCGACACTTTGTGGCTACTCTGCGTGGCTACTTTTTGTGGCTACTCTTTGTGGCTACTCTGTGTGGCTACTCTGCGTGGCTACTCTTTGTAGCTACTCTGCGTGGCTACTCTTTGTGGCTACTCTTTGTAGCTACTCTGTGCTCTACGTGGCAACATTTGCGTGGCAACATTTGCGTGGCAACATTTGCGTGGCAACATTTGCGTGGCAACATTTGGCGCAGCTCCGTGGCAACATTTGCGTGGCAACATGTGCGTGGCAACATTTGGCGCGGCTCCGTGGCAACATTTGCGTGGCAACATTTGGCGCAGCTCCGTTGCAACATTTGCGTGGCAACATTTGCGTGGCGTTAATTTGGCGCGGCTCCGTGGCAACATTTGCGTGGCAACATTTGCGTGGCAACATTTGCATGGCAACATTTGCCATTCCGGGTTGCGTCTGCACTCTGCGTGGCTACTCTTTGTGGCTACTCTGTGTCGCTATTCTGTGTGGCTACTCTTTGTGGCTACTCTTTGTGGCTACTCTGTGTCCACTCTTTGTGGCTACTCTGCGACACTTTGTGGCTACTCTGCGTGGCTACTTTTTGTGGCTACTCTTTGTGGCTAATCTGTGTGGCTACTCTGCGTGGCTACTCTTTGTAGCTACTCTGCGTGGCTACTCTGTGTGGCTACTCTTTGTGGCTGCTCTGTGTGGCTACTCTGTGTGGCTACTTTTTGTGGCTACTCTTTGTGGCTACTCTGTGGCTACTCTTTGTGGCTACTCTTTGTGGCTACTCTGTGTGGCTACTCTGTGTGGCTACTCTTTGTGGCCTCGTCGTCGCCTCGTCGTCGCCGCCCCTCCATCCTCACCCGTATCCTCACCCGCGGTCCTCACCACCCGCGGTCCTCACCACCCGGGGTCCTCACCACTCGCGGTCATCACCAGCCGTGGTCCTCACCAGCCTCGTCGTCGCCTTGTCGTCGCGCGTCGTCGTCGCCCCCCCCCGCCTCTATCTTCACCGGTGTCCTCACCGGTGTTCTCACCGGTATCCTCACCCCCGGTCCTCACCACCCGCGCCGGTCGCACCAGCGCTGGATGTTGCTCGTCGTCGCGTCGTCGTCGTGCCGCCGTCGTCACCGTCGTCGCTGCCCCTCACTCCCCTCCGAGGTCTCCGCCGAAATGCCCTCACCTGTCACCAGGTGCCCTAACGCGGCTCTGGGCAACGCGGCTCTGGGGTAATGTATTCCACCAATTCGTTGAGTTTGTTCCGTTGGGGTAACGCACGCGCGCCGTCACCCTGCCAGGTCGTCGCGCCGTCGTCGCTCGCTCCTCTATCCTGTCCTCACCCCCACGTCCTCACCACCCGTGCCGGTCGTCGCGTCGTCGTCGCGTCGTCGCCTTTCGTTTGAATCAGCTCCAAGCAAAGAGGTCGGTTCGGGCAGGACGCCTCGGCAGAACATTTCGGCAGAATCTCGGGCAGAACACTCGGCAGAACATTTAGGCAGAAAACTCGGCAGAACATTTAGGCAGAACACTCGGCAGAACATGTGGGCAGAACACTCGGCAGAACATTTAGGCAGAACATTCAGGGCCAACGGAACCGGCGAAGCTGAAGGGCTGGAGGGAAGACTGGGAGCTGCAGCGTCTGCCATAGCCTCTGGGGAGCTGCAGCGACTGTGAAGGCGCGTGGGCCTGCAGCGACAAGGGGCGCCTGGGGTTGCAGCCGCCGTGAGGGTTTCTGGGGTTGCAGCTACTGCGAGGGGTGCAGCGTAGGTGCCCTCACAACGTGGCCTGACTGGGTGCCCTCACTAAGTGCCCTCACCAGATGCCCTCACTAGTTGTCTGCTGCACTGGTTTCGCACGTCGAGTTGTCGACCCGATTGTATTGTCAACCCGATTGTGAACCCCCGATTGTGTCGCCGCGTCGTCGTCGCCGCGTCGTCGTCGCGTCGTCGTCACGTCATTGTCGCTGCGTCGCCGCTCACTCCCAGCCGAGGTGACCTCACTAGGTGCCCTCACTCCCCGCCCCAAGGTGCCCTCTAGGTGCCCTCACTAGGTGCCCTCACTTCCCGAGGAGGTGCCCTCGCTGGGTGCCCTCACTTCCCGAAGACCCCGCCGTGTCGTCGTCGCGTCGTCGTCGTCGCGTCGTCGTCGTCGCGTCGTCGTCGTCGCCGCCGCTGGTTGTCGTCGCTCGTAGCCGCCGCTCGTCGTCGTCGCGTCGTCGTCGCCGCGTCGTCGTCGCCGTCCCGGTGAACCCCAAACCCCATTAACCTTCGGTGCTATCTCCCACGTGCCCCGCGCCGCCACGCAGCCGTAGCCGGGCCAAAATCCCCCCAATTGTTTTTTTGGGGGCCCCCACCCCGTTTCCGCAGCAGACCCCGGAATCCCGGCATGCCCGGCAAAATCTGGAAACACTCCTCTGCTGCGGGGAGGGTTTCTGGTAGCCGCTCGTCCTCGCCGCTTGTCGCCGTCACCGCTCGCCGTCGCCGCTCGTCGTCGCCGCTCGTCGCCCGCCGCGTCGTCGTCGTCGTCGTCGCGTCGTCGTCGCTCGTCGTCGTCGCATCGTCGTCTCGTCGTCACGTCGTCATCCCCCTGCACTAAAATTGCCGGAGCAGGGGGGGGTACCCCCCTTTCGGCATTTAATCTTCGGCAATTGTTTTCGCCGCCATGAGCTGTATATGGTGGTATATAAATTGCCGGAAATCATTGCTGCAAACCTTCCAAAATTGCCGAAAAGCTTCCTTGTCAATCCTATCTTATCAAAGTACGGTATCTAGTACGGTCTGCCTCGGGGTTTGAGAGAGAAAGAAGAGAAAGAAGTATCATTCTGGGTCCTTTCGCTCCCAAAGTCTCGGCTGGGGCGGTTGGGCCGGGGGGCCGGCGAACCTTTTCCGCAATTCCCGGGTGGGTCTGTGCTTCTGGAAGACCACGGAACTCAGGCGCCGAAAAGGCTCGGTAACCCTCCCAAAGTCTTGGCTGGGGCGGTGGGGTTGGGGGGGTCGGCGAACCTTTTCGGCAATTGATCCGGCTGTTCCTGGGGCACCCTAGAGTATGAGAAGGATATGTAGAAGGAAAGTTACCTTGTACGAATATGTGTTTGCATTTCGATCCAGTATATCTCGAGCCCACGTGATATGCCGAAAATCGCCGAAAAGGCTCGGGAACCTTCTCAAAGTCTCGGCTAGACCGGTCGGATTAGGGGGTCGGGGAACCTTTTCGGCAATTGATCGGGCCGTTCCTGGGACACTCTCTGGAGTATGAGAAGGATACGTGTATAGAAGGTTATTTTGGCCTAGTACATCCTGAACCCACGTGATATGCCGAATATCGCCGAAAAGGCCCGGGAACCCTCTCAAAGTCTCGGCTAGACCGGTCGGATTAGGGGGGCGGGGAACCTTTTCGGCAGAGCCTTTCCAGCCTCGCAGGAGCTCGCCAAGAACCTGAAGATCCAGACCTTCGAGCAGGTCCGGCAGGAAGCCATGGGCGAGCAGGACGGGTTTGTTTAGCGCCTTTGTTTTTGCGTGTTTTTTGCCATGTGCCAGGAGAAGGAGATCCTGCGCTTCCTCGGCATCGACACACATGGCGGCTTCGACGGAGTCAAGGCCGCCAAGGAGGTGGCCCGCCGTGTGGCGGACGCCCCGTTTCACCAGTGCGTCAGGGCCAGGGACTTCGAGGCACGTTTCACCAGCAAGGACCTAGCACAGGCGGTGAAGGCACGAGGTGCCCACTGCATCTATGTCAAGGCCACCACTAAGGCGGATGAGCGGTTTTGCGCAGCGTCGCCGTCAGTGCACGCTCTGCTCAAGCAGATGGCCCCGCCCAAACGCTGGGGAACCAAGAAGCCCAGACTGGGGGATAGAAAGTTGAAGCAGTAGACCTCGCATTCCACCAGAGGGCGGACGCACAGCCAGCCAACAGCGCAGGGCCAGGAATTTGATGACAGAAAGTTGAGACATCCAGGGAGCATGAGCGTTTGAGTGCAAAAAGGGGGAGCTGCCAGTCTTCCCAACGTACTTGTTCAGTCGATGTTGACTTCGCGCAGGCGGCGGGTTCAAAGTGCGGACCGCTGAGTGAAGAGCAAGTGTCCCGGCGAGAGTTGTATGTCTAAGGTAGCGTGTTAGGTGTGTTGTTTGTCGCGTGTTGGGAGCTGCTTGAGCGTTCGCCTCCTTGAGGCAAAGAACCCTTTCGCCTTTCAGGGTGCGGACTGGGTGGTTGAGTTTGGGGCCAAACTTTCCTTGTGACGTAAAGCCTGTTTCCAAAAGGGTTCTGAGACCAGTGTCGGCCTGCGTGTTTTTGGTGCGGGCGTCACCTTGTTATGCGCTGCTGTGCAACCCCGATCCCAGGTCCGCTTCTTCGCCATCCTCAACAGGCCCCGCTTTGAAGTTTTGAGGAGTTGGATCTGCAGGAACGCAGGATAGGGTGAGGATAGAGGTGGAGGTAGAGGTATAGAGGGAGCGGCGACGACGACACAGCGGGCGGGCGGGGGCGAGGTGAGGAAAGGGAGGTGGAGGTAGATCGAGGGAGCAGCGACGACGACGCAGCGGGGGGGACGCGGCGGCGCCGCGACGGCGGGCGGTGAGCGGCGGGCGGTGAGCGGGTAAGCGACGACGGCGCGAAGACGATGCGGCGACGGCTCTGGCGGCGACGACGGGGCGGCTCGGTGCGACCTGTGGCTGGGGGTCCTACTTGAAGGGGCGGGGGTGTTAGTAATTGTATATGCAGGTTGTTAATTGTTTGGCACAGTTAGCAAATGACTTATATGAGATGTGTAAGTGTAGTTATTGAACTTAGCTATGTTGAAGTTAACTTGGTTAGCTAAGTGTATTTATATGAAAAAGATAAGTGAGCTAAGTGATCTATGTTGCATGAAGCATGCTGCTCAGAGACGCAATGCAGGGCTTTAAAGCTCGCATGCAGTTCTCTTTTTTACACCTGCGGGACTGCGACAATGGCAGCATTGCCCGAAATGCTGTAAGGGCATGTGGCCCGGATCAGTCGGGTTTGCACGAGGCCACAATCGTCGGAGACTTCATACATACAGCCATGGACATGTGTCCAGAAGGTAATGTGCGACCATACAACTTTCTCGCACATTACATGATAAGCCACTTTGCCTACGGCAGTGACCCCATCCAGATCCATCAAGGCCAAGTCGCCGACAGCCACGGTGAAGTTTCCTCCATGCACTGCCTGCCTGGCTGTGAAGACTTCACCCTGGACCCGGATCGTGTTGTGTATCTCTGTTTGCAATCTGGCGGGAGCTGGTCTCACAGGGTCGACCAAGCGAACTCCTTGGCCTGGGAGGTATACACCCTCTGCCAGACTTTCCATGTGACCATGGAGTACATCTTGTAGGATGCTCCTCTCAAAGGTTCTGCTTGTATCCAAAATTTCATTCGAAATTTTTTTGATGATTTTATGTTTTCTTTCGTGCACAAAGCAGCTGAGGAGGACCTGATGCTTGGCCAGTTGCAGCGCCAAATGGCCTGCCAAGTGACACTTTGGCACCCACCACTCATCTCCATACCGACTTTTCGCCAGATCGAGATGCCTTTTGATGAGCTGCTGCAACTGCAGGGGGGTAAATGCTGAAGGTTTGGCATTGATCGCTTGCAAAGCATCAATCACCTTGCACAAAGCCAACCAAACCTCGCAAGAGTCCCGGATATCTCTGCTGCAATTTGGCAGCACAAAGACTAGCACATAGAGTCGCAGCAGCTGCATAAAGTTCAGAGCCTCGCTGGCTCCACACTTCAAGGTTTCGCTTGGCTTTCGCTTCTGCAAGATATCCTTTGCAGCAGCACCTCGCAAACGAGAAGGCCAGGTAAAACCATTTGCGAAGCGATCAATGTCATTGTGCTTCCAGCCATGGTTGTGAAGCTCTCCAAGAAAAAACCCTGTCAGAACATTGAAGATGCCATTGACTAAATAGACATGGAAGTAATCGAACATCACACACTCGATGACCGGAGGCCCGTATGCTGCATGTGCCAGCAATCCATCCTCTTTGAAATTGAACCCCATTGCTGTTTGGAGTTGCAGGAATCTGTCTTTGTTGAGGACCCTCTCTTGCCTTCGCAAGAAGTCCATGGTGTCTCGTATAGACTCGGGTGTGTGCATCCGAAAGCAACTCATGTCGGTTTCCAGGCCGGACACCATATTGCCCCGACTCCTTTCAGCAATGCTGCTTTTGTGGTCCACGGCGTTTTGGCATTGAACACAGAATATGAGCCCACTGGCTCCTTTATTGAAAAGGGTAGCCTTAATTGCAGCTTCGTCGGATATGATGATCTTCAAGTCGGCAAAGAGCATACGTGCTTGTCCAGGGCACTGCAACACAAGACCTTTTCTGAAGTCAGGTCTCTCAAAGAACAAGGCTGCTAGCTGCCTGAAGAGCACAGTCATGCCGCCGAGATCTGCGACCAGAGAGCTGCGAATGGCACAGAGAGTGAACCAGCAATTTTCGCAACCCATTGCATGCTGTCCCAAAGGGAGCAGGCTCCAATATACGGCCTGGACCTTTCTCCGGTTGGAGTGCTTGAGTTGGTTGCCCGGAGCCAGCTCGTCGGAATACCACACCAATCCCCATGGTTGAAGAATGCTGGGGGGTGTGGCATCCATGGCCCTCTCCAGGAACTCGCCAAATGGTCGACATCGCTCTGTCGCCCAGGCAAGCATTGCAGCTGGGTTCAAGACAGGAAATTCAAACTCCACACCAGTTTCGGCAACACACTTGAAGTCGCATAGGATCTCGCCATAAGCAGTTTGGTAGCTCCGAGTCTTCTCATCCCGGGCCCGCTTCAGTGTTCGGCGACTCGTCCCAGATGGCAACTCGGGCAGCTCTTTGAGTTCCTGCAAGACCTGACTGAGACCTCGCTGGGATACATATGATTTCCTTCCCAAGCAGGAGAGCGAGGAGCTCCCGGCGGAAGCCATGGGGTCTGCTGGCGAGCTCTTGGCCCTGCCGAGCGACCCACTACTTTGACTGCAGATTCATACATATATATATATGTATATCTGTATAAAAGGTATACTATATATAGGAAAAGTGGATGGGAGCATGCAGGCACTGTGTACGTACCTTATATATCTATATATATATATATATACAGAGATATGTTTTGTTTACATGTATATATGCATGCTCTTTGTTCCTGCAGGTTTCCAAGCATATTGCTGCAACGGTGCAACCCCACTGCGAGCAGTCCGGGAAACTCCAGTGCAAGGCCAAGACAACCTTTAACCATAAACCCGAAACTAAATATTTGATATATATATATATGTATACACAGAAACCCGAAAGCTATAGATATCTAGCATCCGAGTATTGATTTGTACACATATATATACATGTATATACAGTTATATATATAGTATATACCACACCAAACCTAACCTAACACCAAACGTGATCCTGAGACACATCTTAATAAATCGCAAAGCCATATATAATATATACATGTACAACTCGAAAGCTTCAACATAGCTCTCGAAGAAGGGTCCACATTCGCACCCTCCTAAAAGGACACCCCTGTATAATATATGTGTGTATATATATATATATATCAATATATATTCAACCCATATATATATATATATATATAAAGTATATATAGGCTCCTATATATATATATATACATCCCATATGTAAAGTATATCTATGTATATATATGTATATAACACATATATAATATGCCACGAAACAAAAACCCGGATCGTGCAGGCATCCTGCACCACCGCTTTTGACACCTGCCAGGATCGCTTCGGTCTTTCCCTCCGTGGCAAGCGATGCTCCCAACATTATACCTCCCGAGGTACAATGGCTTTAATGTACACACAGCCTTTGTGAAAGATGAATAATAAGGTGCATGCTTCCTGGAGGCTCGCGAACAAAACTTTGCTGATGCTGGAAGACACCAAAACACGTCAACATGCATATAGACTTAAGATGTATACACTCTGCCTGTAGCCTCCAAACTCTCACCCTGTATAGGACTCCAGCTGTGCATGCTTTCAGCAGCTGTTGATGCAATCACGGGCCAAAGCACGACGGTGTGCAGCCGGGCCTGTTCCGGCACTTGCCACACCCATTGGGTCGCAGCTTGATGCGAGCCGACAAAGTCATGCATCGGACCTCTTCTCGAGTGAACTTCTTCAAAGCCTTCTGGACCTTCTTCGGCTGCGACTTCGCCTTCGCCTTGCAAGCAGCCTTGGCCTTCGCCTTGGGCTGCGACTTTGCTTTGGGCTGGGACTTCATGGCCGTGCACTTGGCCTTCGCCTTAGCCTTGGCCTTGGCTTTACCCTTGGCCTTGGCTGCAGCCTTGGGCTTCTTATTTGCCTTGTGCTTCGCCTCGTTTTCCTTGGCCTCGGCCTCGACGGTGCTGTCGAACCCTTTGTTGTCGCCCTTCCAAGCTTGAAGCATTTCATCTGCATGTTGTGCAGCACTGACAGGATCCTTGCTGGCCAGCACTCCCTGTTGCTCGGCCTGCTTTGTTCCGCTGCCCTGTGCCGGTTCATTGGTAACTGTAGGAAGCTGCAAGGCCTGCTGTTGAGCAGGCGAGGAGGCCATCGTCCCAGACGAGGCGGCAGCAGCTGGGTCGCCGAAGATTTTCAACCCAGGCAATCCATCGTTCTTCTTCGCCAATTGCTGCTGCTGGTTGAACATGTTAGCTGCCATGCTGCCCCAGAACTGCATCATACCCTGCATGGTGTGGGGCATGTGCATTGCCGGGCCTGCTGCTGGACCACCCAGCACCATGGCAGTGTTGCTCTTGTGGAAAGAGAGGCTTTTGTTACTGCCACGAAGAGCATCACGGGCCAGCACCATTGTTCCAGGCAGCTCACCTCCCAAGGCATCTGCGAAGCGATCTCGGGT